AACAAGTTGGCCCGTTCCAAGCCAAACCCTAGTAGTTTCTCTCTCACCAGCGCCGCATCTCCAAGTAACCCAGGTTCCCCACGCTGCACGCCACCAATCCCGATTCTTTCGGCGCAAGGAAAGCATGAAGATCCTTCAATAACAACCCACAACCAATTATCTCGGTTCAACAGCAAACCAATAGCAAATGTTAGTTTTTAACTAGGAATCAAACTCCCAAAAATAGGGTGGCTTGAATAATATAAATAGTGTCACAGACCGCCAGCCCAAGACCGAGCCCAGTTCGTTCAAGGCTGCCAGAGACTACATTTGCCACGTTTTGGGCCTTCTAGAAGACCCAGCAGAGCTGGCCCATCCACCTTGGAGAGCGAAGAGGCATGATAATTATTTGAAATTATCTTAGAGATAATTCCCACTAATTATTATTTAATTTTAGAGTTATAGATAGAGTAGGGCTCTTTTCTGACCGTTGATGTAATTTAATCTTAACCGTTGATTGTAGGGGGCTCCAACTATAAAAGGAGGCTCACCCCCACCTCATTTACTCACTTCAGATTGTGGAATACAAGTTAGCATTCACTCTAAACTCTCTCTTCTCCATTTGAGCTCCCATCTCTCTATTTTTCCCATTTCCTTTATTTTTGCAACGTTCTAAGCATTCTCGCTTAGTGAAGGTTTGGGTTACTTAGCCGAGTTTTGACCTCGAAAACGAATAAGGCCGCACGAGCTTGCTAGCAGCAGTCTAGCCCCGTGACAAGTGGTATCAGAGCCTATTTCTTTTTTATTTTCGTTGGTTCGAGATGGCCCACATGGTGAAGCGACGGGTTCTGATGGAATGAAACCCGCAATGCTGGAAAGAAGAGAGCACCCTCGAAAGATGTTCTCACGTCCATCCAGGAGAAGGTTACCAGGCTCGAGGGTTCCATGACGGAAGCCAAGGTAGTGTTGGATGTGCTAGAGTCCGTAGACCTTGAAAAGCTGGGGTCGTTGGATCTCGATAAGCTGGAGTCCTTGGAGAGTATCAGGGAGGAGGTTCAGGATTCACTCAACGATTTGGATGCGAAGGCAACTGATCGAGGTGATTCCTTAGAAGCCATGGTAGTGGCTTTAAGGAAGGAAGTTGAGGAACTCAAGAGTAAGGGTTCCGATTCTGAGGTGGTCGAGCTAAAGAGGGAGGTCGAGTTGCTCAAGACCGAGGTATTGGTGTGTAAAGCTGCGTTCGGGAATAGCGTAGCCACGGTTGCACCCAAAGCCTTGGGTGACATCCCTAAGGGAGAAGTTCAAAGGAACCAGGTCCGCCCAGGATTGAGAATTTCCTTTGGGGGTTGGACCAGTACTTTGCAGCCACGGGCATCACAGAGGATGCCAAGAAAGTAAGCATCGCTAGTGTTTACTTGTCAGAGGTTGCCCCTCATGTGGTGGCGACGCAGATGCAACGATGTGAAGCGTGGGAACGCTGCCATCGAGACCTGGGTAGAATTCCAAGCTGAGTTCAAGGAACAGTTCTACCCAGAGTATGCTGAGGATGAGGCGCGATCCAAGTTGAGGCGTCTCAAGCAAGAAGGGTCACTGAGGGAGCATGTTCGAAAGTTTGTCGAACTAATGCTCCAAGTCCCAATTGAGTGAAGAGGACGGGTTCTTCACCTTCATGGATGGGTTGAAACCATGGGCGAAGAACGAGCTAAGGCGACGAGGAGTTAAGGAGCTCTCGGTTGCCTTGACGATGGCCGAGTCAATCATTGAGCTTGGCGTCAAGAAGGTGGACTCCAAACCAAAGCCAAAGTTTCGAGGTAGCAGTGGTGATAGGGACAAGGCGTCCAAATCCGACAAAGATTCGAGTGGCAATGGCAAGCCATCGAATGGTAAGCACTCGGATAAGAAAGACAAGCAAATTATCCAGTGTTACAACTGCAAGGGCCAAGGGCATTTGGCGAGGGACTGTCCGCAGAAGAATAAACTCTCGGCCATCAAGGAGAAAGATGGGGAGGAGAGTGAGACTCTAAGCTTGGATCCATCCTTAGCACCATGGAGGTCAAGAAGGGTCGAAAGAAAAAGGGTTGATGTTCGTTGACATTACCATCAACGCCAAAGAGGTTCCGATTGCGGGGTCGCAAAGGGAATTGAGTTAACTGTTGGAGGTTGGTCCGGAACGGAAGCCATCAAGGTGATTCCTCTTGATGACTTCGACTTCGTGCTTGGGTTAAGTTTCTTGGACCGAATCAATGCTTTCCCAGTACCTTTTGCCGATTGTTTGTGCATCCTGGATCTAAAGCAACAGTGCATTGTTCCAGTGAGCCGAGGGCCCGGAGTAGGGCCAAAGTTCTATCCGCAATTCAATTCTCGAAGGCGGTGCGCAAGGAGGAACCGTCCTTCTTAGCTGTCTTGGTGTGTGAGGAGCCAGCCACAACCAAGAAAGTTCATGACGTGGTGAGCCACGTGTTGGCAAAATTCCAAGATGTGATGCCTGCCGAGTTGCCTAAGAAGTTGCCTCCAAAGAGGGAGGTGGATCACAAGATTGAGCTTGTGCCGAATGTGGAGCCACCCGCTCGAGCTCCTTACCGAATGGCTCCGCCCGAGTTGGAGGAGATGCACAGACAGTTGAAGGATCTACTCGATGTCGGGTACATCCGACCATCCAAGTCCCCCTATGGTGCCCCAGTGCTATTTCAAAAGAAGCACGATGGTTCTTTGCGGATGTGCATCGATTACCGGGCTTTGAATAAGCTCACGGTGAAGAACAAGTACCCGATTCCTCTCATTGCTGACTTGTTCGATCAGCTTGGTGGTGCAAGGTGGTTCACCAAGTTGGATTTGCGATCGGGCTATTACCAAGTCAGGAGCCGAGGGAGATGAACCGAGGGAGATGAACCGAAGACAGCCTGCATGACTAGGTACGGTTCGTATGAATACCTTGTGATGCCCTTTGGCCTCACGAATACTCCAGCCACTTTCTGCACCCTGATGAACAAGGTGTTGCAACCTTTTCTGGATCGATTCGTTGTTGTCTACCTCGACGACATCGTCTTTACAGCAGACGTTGGAGGAGCATGTTGAACACTTGAAGCAAGTGTTTCTGGTGTTGCGAGAGAACGAGCTTTGTCAAAGAGGAAAAGTGCTCATTCGCCAAAACGGAGGTTCCTTTCCTTGGCCACATTATTGGAGGTGGCAAGATCTGGATGGATAGGGACAAGGTTCGAGCCATTGATGAATGGCAAGTGCCAACCAGGTGACGGAGCTGAGATCATTCCTGGGGTTGGCCAACTATTACCGGAGGTTTGTCAAAGGTTACTCAAAATCGCAGCCCCCTTAACCGAGTTATTGAAGAAAGACAAGGCGTGGGATGGGGCCCAAAGTGTCAAGTGCCTTTGATGAAATCAAGCTTGCTATGATAAGTGAGCCAGTTTTGGTGTTGCCAGATCACACCAAGCCCTTTGAAGTTTTCACCGATGCATCCGACGTTGCCATTGGTGGGGTCTGATGCAAGAGGGACATCCGGTTGCTTATGAAAGCCGAAGCTCAATGAGACCGAGAGGAGATACACGGTCCATGAGAAAGAGATGACTGCAGTTGTGCACTATTTACGCACATGGCGACATTACTTACTTGGGTCCAAGTTCGTGGTGTTTACAGACAATGTTGCCAACAGTTACTTCTTAACCCAGAAGAAGTTGTCATCGAAGCAAGCTCGTTGGCAAGAGTCCTTGCCGAGTTTGACTGTCCTTGGAGCAAACCTGGGAAAGTGAATTCCGTGGCCGATACCTTAAGCCGAAGGTGTGACATGGAGTTGTGAGTTTACCGACGGACAGATGCGGGAGCGCATCAAAGAGGGGTTGTATGATCCGATAGCCCCTTCATTGATTGAGCTTGCCAAGGGGGGCAAGACTAGAAAGTTTTGGCTAGATGGAGGCTTGTTGTATGCTCGAGGACACCGCCTCTATGTGCCACAATTTGAAGGATTGCGAAAGGAGCTCATGAGGGAATGCCATGATTCTAAGTGGGCGGGACATCCGGGGATCCACCGGACTTTAGCCTTGATAGCGGAGCACTATTATTGGCCGCACATGGGCAATGATGTCGAAGCCTATGTGAAGACCTGTCTTGTGTGCCAGCAAGACAAGATAGAGCAAATGAGACCAGCTGGATTGTTGCAGCCTCTGCCTATCCCCGAGAAACCATGGGAAAGTCTTTCCATGGATTTCATTGTTGGTTTGCCTGTTTCCGATGGATTTTCTAGCATCATGGTCGTGGTGGATAGATTTTCCAAGTATGGGACCTTTATTCCAGCTTCCAAAGTTTGTCCATCCGATGAGGCCACTCGTCTTTTCCTCAAGTACGTGGTGAAGTACTGGGGTGTTCCAAAGACGATTATCAGTGATCGGGACACAAGGTTTACTGGGAGGTTCTGGAAGGAGTTGTTCAAGTTGATGGGGTCAAGCTTGAACTTCTCGACAAGTGTTCATCCCCAGACGGATGGGAAAACCGAGAGAGTGAATGCACTCGTAGAGACCTACTTGAGGCACTATGTGAGTGCCACGCAACGTGACTGGCCAAAATTGTTGGATGTAGCCCAGTTTTCCTACAATTTGTAGAGGAGTGAAGCGACCAATCAGAGTCCATTTGAGATTGTTATCGGCAGCAGCCGCTTACACCAAATGCGGTTGTGACTGGGTACCAAGGGCCAAATCCAACAGCATACCAATTTGCCAAGGAGTGGCAAGAACAACATGACTAGCCGAGCTTGTTTGCACAAGGCCGGGAAGCGAACCAAGAAGTGGGCAGATCGAAAGCGTCGGGATGTAAACTTTGAGGTTGGTGACCTAGTCCTTGCCAAATTAAGTGATATCTTGCGCAACCCATATCACAAAGGGCTTGTGCGAAGATACGAGGGGCCATTCAAAGTTTTGAAGCGAGTAGGCACCATGGCCTACAAATTGGAGTTGCCTTCGACCATCAAAGCTCATCCGGTGTCCATGTGAGTTTGTTAAAGCCATACCATCAGGATGGAGGAGCTAGATCGAGGCAAGTCACACCGGGCGCCAGTCGGGGTAAAGGTCTCATACGAGAGAGAAGTAGAAGCTATCCACGCAGAGAGAGCCGTTCATGGAGTGGGAAAACGACCAAGGCATGAATACCTTGTTCAGTGGAAGGGACTTCCAGAGAGTGAGGGAAGTTGGGAACCTTCCGAAGCCTTGTGGCAATTCCGAGATAAGATTGACCAGTTTCACTCTAGTTCGCGCAACGAGGGCGTCGCTAGAACTAGTGGGGGAGAATGTCACAGACCGCCAGCCCAAGACCGAGCCCAGTTCGTTCAAGGCTGCCAGAGACTACCTTTGCCACGTTTTGGGCCTTCTAGAAGACCCAGCAGAGCTGGCCCATCCACCTTGGAGAGAGAAGAGGCATGATAATTATTTGAAATTATCTTAGAGATAATTCCCACTAATTATTATTTAATTTAGAGTTATAGATAGAGTAGGGCTCTTTTCTGACCGTTGATGTAATTTAATCTTAACCGTTGATTGTAGGGGGCTCCAACTATAAAAGGAGGCTCACCCCCACCTCATTTACTCACTTCAGATTGAGGAATACAAGTTAGCATTCACTCTAAACTCTCTCTTCTCCATTTGAGCGCCCATCTCTCTATTTTTCCCATTTCCTTTATTTTTGCAACGTTCTAAGCATTCTCGCTTAGTGAAGGTTTGGGTTACTTAGCCGAGTTTCGACCTCGAAAAACGACTAAGGCCGCACGAGCTTGCTAGCAGCAGTCTAGCCCCGTGACAATAGCATGTAATCCCTAATGTAATGGGGGACACGGTTGATACGAAATACAAGCAGAGATTACACACAAGAAAATCACGAAAAAGCAAACAAACGTTCGAAGTAATTTGTATAGAATCTGAGTGAAATAATAGGTAAATCTTTACCTTGCTTTTGGTTTTCTTGGCTTGCATGACACATTTGTTTGCTCTTGGTTCGAGCGGGAACCCATTCGGCCGAGGAACGAAAGGGAGGCCCTTTGTTTTTCAAAATTATATTTTTAGATCTACGTTTTTTCAAATCGATTTTTTAAAAAATAACTTTGGTTTTTAGAAATGAAGTTCAGAAAGCATTCGAAAAAGCGAATTTTTTTTTTAATTTACCGCCGATGAACGGTGGCCGGCGCCGTACAACGGCGGCCGACGAGACGGCGCTACGGCCAGATTCTGGAAAGCACGGCGGCGTGTTCATCTGCTTGATGAACACACATGAACACTTCAGAGGTTTTAAAACCTTTCTTTTTGATTCAAGTTGGCAAATGGGGAAATAATAGAAAGTGTTTGTGGGAAATGGGTTATATACTCGACCCGAGGACCCCATTTGGATCCCCAGGGTCCGCGTGTTTCTGAAACGGGTGGGGGATAATCTCAGTTTCGGTCCCCTTTCCTTTGGTGTGCCTCAATTTGCCCCAAGAATCGACCTTTGTCCCGAAATGTCTTCAATTTTGGCCACCTAATTTGTTTTCTTTTCAATTTAGCCCCCTGTTAACCTCAATTTGTCTATTCAATTTTAATTTTCTTTAATTATTTGCTTTTTTTTCTCTTATTATTTTTGTTATATATATATATACATATTACGTTTTATTAGTTATATATATATATATATTATCATTAGTATATTGTATATATATATATATATATATATATATATATATATATATTTCCTATTTTATTCTTATATGTATATACATATATTTTACTTATGATTTCCTATTATATTTTTTCTATTTTTTTATTATTACTTATATATATACTTGCACCTTTTTTATTTATCTATCTTCTTTTTATTTTTATTCTTTATTTTTATCTTTTTATCTTCATTTTGTTTGTTTTATTCATTTATTTGCATTATCATTTTATTTTTATTTAGTTGTCTACTATGTATATATGTGCGCTATTATTTTTCTTCATTTTATGTATTTTATTCATTTTCTATCACTTTCCTTATTTCATTTGTTTTACTTTTTTTATCATTTATTTCTTCTAACACATATTTTGACTTTTAAATGGTACGCTTTCAAATTAATCAATTGTAAGTAGTTGAGATTGCTATTTTACATTTTAATTTAAAGTTACATTTTTCTTAACCAAAGACAACTGGAAATTACGTAGTACCGAAAGGGTAGTTCAAGGGTGCTAATCCTTCCTTGACCGTAACCGACTTTTTATGTATTTTATTCATTTTCTATCACTTTCCTTATTTCATTTGTTTTACTTTTTTTATCATTTATTTCTTCTAACACATATTTTGACTTTTAAATGGTACGCTTTCAAATTAATCAATTGTAAGTAGTTGAGATTGCTATTTTACATTTTAATTTAAAGTTACATTTTTCTTAACCAAAGACAACTGGAAATTACGTAGTACCGAAAGGGTAGTTCAAGGGTGCTAATCCTTCCTTGACCGTAACCGACTCCCGAACCCGACATGTTTCTGGTACAACGCAGATCAGGTAAGAAATAAGGTATCCGATCAACCCATTTTTAATAAAATAAATGGTCGGTGGCGACTCTAATCCACATTTTTCAAGTCGAAGCCCAATTCCGGGCCCAACTGAAAGACGGTTGCGACAAATATCTTTGAAATATTTTTAATAAAATTAAAATATTAAATATTTTTAAATTAAACTTTCTTAATCATTTAACCAAATTTTTTTATAATTATGAAAAACGATCCCTAGAAAACAAAACTTAAGAACTAAAACAAAACTAAATAACTCCGTTAAACACGTTTAATATTTAATGAATATTTGTGGTTCATAGCGGATGGTAAATCAACTCGAACCAAAAGCAATTCGAATTAAAGTAACCCGAACCAAAAGCAACTCGAACCGAAAGCAACCCAAATTTAATTTATTTATATCCGATCCGAATCAAACTTCGACATGACTTTAACTCAATAATTGAGTTTAAGTGAATGAATAATTTATTTATTTATTATTACTGTTATCTATTTTTAGCATTGCTAAATAGTAAAATGATGTATTTTTATTCTCATTTTATATTATATTGCTAGTTTAATCATCACTTCTAGTAATAGTTTAACGGTACAATATAATCTTTCATCAGTTAAAAGATTAAATTTATATCTGATGCAATAACTTCTAGCTCTGAATTTAGATTGTGACAATAAATATTTACAAAAATTCTTGATTTTAAAGATCCATTGATTCGATTAATTTAAACTAAAACTTCTAGCTCTGAATTTTGGATGTGACAATATATATTCATATAAAATTCTTAAAGTATAAGTAATAAAGACTAGTATGGAAAATTATTATGACAATGAGTGACAACGGTTGACCTGAAAATCTAAATGTTGACATGAATTGAAACCGACTCGAATTGACCTGAAAATCTAATGGTTGATCCAAACTGAAACCAACTAATCCAATATTGATCCGACCTGAAGCTAATTGATCCTATATTAATCTGACCTGAAAACCAGCTGATTTGATTTTGATCCAACCCGAAAACCAACCAATCTGATTTTGACCTGATCCGATACTCGGCCCAAACTAAATTGTCATAGACCCGAAGTAAATCCGAACCAGATCCAATTTGATTCAAACCGAACCTAAACCGAATGTAATCTAGACCTGAAATGATCCAAACGACCCGAATACCACCTCTACTTTCAGTTTAATATAAATAACAATAGAGTATTTTTCTACTAAGAATATGTGTTATTTATTATTTTTTATTAGTCAGAGATAATTACAAATTGATGTTTATTAAAAAAAATCTTTCAATTATTTGGCAATGAACACTCATACATTCCTACATGTATCGTGTTTGAATCTAAGGCCTTCAAAGATAATAACTATCCATTAACCATTAAGATCGCTTGGTTCATATTTTATTATTATTATTATTTAAATATTAATTAAATATATGTGATAATAAATTAAATTCATTTTTGGTGAGAAAGAAAAACTACCACCAATGTATTACATAATTGTATATTCGATATTACCTAGCACAATTCTACTTTAATTGACTTGTACATTTGTTCTACATACTAACAATTATAAATTATGTAATTTAATTTATCAAATAAAAATAATTATTGCTTTTTACTTCCAAAGTTTATTGATAAACTATTACTTTTATTAATTGATTTAATCATCACCTATGTATCAAATATAAATCTAATAAATATAAACTAAATATGTATATAATGAAAATTTTGTCATTAAAAAAAAGATTTACATTGATCTTCGGTTTTATCCTTAATAACCCCCTCCTTCTATAAACATATAAATTCAATAATAATTGTTATCTAATTAGCTCCAACGAGTTACTGTCGTCGCCGCAAAAAGTCCTGCACTGCATTAAAATAACTCATCAATTTTGTAGAATCATAGTAAAATTATTTGATATATATTATATACATTTTAATTTATATGGGTTGGTCTCTTTTGATGTTGTATATTCTATTTAACTTTTTAGATTTTTAATGTTAATGTTTATGGTTTTAAATTTAGGTTTCAGAGTTTTAGATTTTAAGATTTGAGATTATGATATATATAATGTTGTGTATCAAATTATAATTCTTTTTAAGAAAATATTTTGATACATAGATTGTGTAAAATTCATTTTACATAATATCTATATTTTAATATCATATGTTTTATCTGTTGTTTTGGAGTTTATAATTTTAGATTTTTGTGTTTTATATTTAGGGTTTAAGGGTAAAATTTAGGATTTTAACCTTTATGATTTAAGATTTAGAAATTAATATTTTAAAATTAAAATATAGATGTTGTGTAGTAAATAATCTAACTTTTTTTAATACTGGTGATTAACAATCTGACAGACGAAAGTGCGTGTATATATAAGCATGGGTGAGGAGAGTTTTGGTAGTGAAGAAGGGGAAACGAATAAAGAGAAATAAAGGTGGATGATGGGGAGATCAGCTAGTTGTGACGAGAACGGCCTAAAGAAAGGACCTTGGACTCCCCAAGAAGACCAAAAGCTGGTTCAATACATAGAACGCCATGGCCATGGTAGTTGGAGAGCCCTCCCTAAGCTTGCAGGTTAATTATCTTCTAATTTTGATCCTGTCCTTTCTTCATCTTCATTACTGCTAAGTTAAAAAGAAACTTTTCCATGGTTTCAGATCTCAACCGATGCGGAAAAAGCTGTAGGTTAAGGTGGACAAACTACTTAAGGCCTGATATCAAGAGGGGCAAATTCTCTCAAGAAGAAGAATCAACAATTCTGCATTTGCATTCCATTCTTGGAAACAAGTAATTGAACTCTGCTCCTAAACTAGTGAATTTACGTTAACACTTCTCTTTTCTATGTTTTTATTCTTATATATATTCAGGTGGTCAGCCATTGCAACACATTTACCAGGCCGCACGGATAATGAAATCAAGAACTTCTGGAACACACATTTAAAGAAAAAGCTTATTCAAATGGGTATTGATCCAACGACCCATCAGCCACGAATTGATATCTTTGCAAGCTTGCCTCAGCTTATAGCCCTTGCTAGCCTAAAGGACCTCTTGGAGAGTACTACTCATCTAATATTAGACGACCAAGCTTTAAGATTACAGGCTGAAGCTGCTCGGTTGGCTAAGCTTCAATACCTGCAATTACTAGGCCAATCCCCAAATGGCATTGCAGACATGGAAGCTCTCAACTTAATAAGTTCATCAGTTCCAAATTCATCTCAATTTTCTCTTGGAGATGCTACTTCTCAACAACTCCACCAATATCCCACTCCTTTACCTCATTTACTAGACCCACAAGTCCCTTCCAGTTTCCAAACATCGGTGAACAGTGAGATAGGAAACTGTTCCAGCTTTACGATGCTCAGACAAGGAGATAACCAAACCGAGAACTCATCATCTTGGATTCTTCCATCCCCTAACATTCCTCCAACAGCTATCGACACATCACTCTGTAATGCAAGCAGTAGTTCTAGCAACAATGGAGCCGCTTCTCCCTACTGGCCTGAACTCTATTTCGACAACTCTATCAATATCATGCATGAGATTTCCTAGTCTTGGAGTTTGCATCTGTTAATGTCGATAACTATGGCATCCATCTCATGCTTTACTTCATGTATAAATTACCCCCAACAATCTATGTATATTTATACATCCAATATATTTATGCATATATAATTTTATGATAATAATCAGACGATCATGAAACCAGGGTTTTTGTTTTTCATCCTGTAATCATACAAGCCTTTAGTTTGTACGTATTCCTTTATAACTATCAATGATAAATTCCAGGTTGTAATTAGAGATGATCTTGACTTTTAGTTTTAGCACTGGAGTGAAGGGGGGCAAATGTAATCACTTGATTAAAATCTTATACAATATCAAAGTAGCATCTTAGTCTTCAGTCGACACACCTGCCACTGGCCTACTAATCATAAAACGCCATATAATTGCATTATTTGCTAGAAAATAAAGCACGCCTTTCTTGATGTTGCCACTAGTAGCCATCGATGGATTGTTATAACCATCATGTATCCTATGATCGTCTATTTTACATGGTCTAAATCCGAAATATATTATGTTAAACCATTCACAAAGTTTCCATTTAACATGCGATCTATATACAATTAATTGCAGTGAGATATGAAACTTTGAGTTGCATCAAATGTTTAGGGGTAGGATTAGGTGGTGATAAACTTTGGCTTTATGTTTTAAATATGGTTAATATGAGGGATGAGAGGAAAAGAAACCTAACCCAGATGTACTACCTTTTAATTCAGAAGACTTTGTAAGTATATTGGATTGGTTTAGTTGAAGGGTGTGACAGTCAATCCCTTGCTACAAAATAAATCAAACTTCTATAACTACTCTTTAGAAATAAAAACATCACCCTTTCAAATTTTTTATTCCGCTAAAGAACACCTTATATCTAAGGATTGAAAATAAAAATTTATTGCTGGTTAATGAAAAATTAAGCTTTACATCTTGAATGTCGATTTTTGGTTTTAGACATAAATGAACAGTTATTACTATCTTGCGATAAGAAGTAGAAATAATTCCATCGCCTTTTCCACTTCCGTCTGCAACAACAATTCAAACGTATAATCAATAAAACTCACTCATTAGTTATAATACATACCAACAAATTAACGTCTCCTCCGTGATTTAATACGTTACCATTTACTACGAAGCCGGTTTCATGGCCAAAGTTGACTATTCAGATCCGGTTGAACCCAACTTGAAATTTAGTTTTATTGATCAAAATATTTAGATTGACACTTATATTTCAAAATTAAATTAAATTGTAATTTTGTTTTAATAATAGTCTAAATTGAACCAGATCAGCCAATCCTAGATTCAATCAGATCAAAGTCCAATAACAACCCTAAAGTAAATCAACATGATGTACTATGGAGTACGGATAGAGCGACTAATGCATTACTGCTCATTGTTTCTAAGCCCAAATCATTAATGGACGTATGCCTGCTCTGTCACTGCGTATAAACACTACTTATAATTGTTTGTATTGAGATGGAGAGGTGACCATCATGTTGGTTATGTGCTTTGTTGAGCAAAAAGAAATGGGACCAACACCAGGCTACGAAGCAGCTTGGGAGATGGAAACTTCTTCGTTTTCCATTATTGAATGTAAACACGGCGAGTTTCGACTTCACTCTCTTCACTGTTTCTACTCAAAAATTCTAAAATACAATATGTCAATATAAGATTAAAAAATAACAGAAATTTGTTTTAACAGAAACATGTCAATAAGAAAATTTTGTCAAAAGAGCTTAATTTTTTTTAGATTGGACAAAGTAATATTTTAGGTTGAAAAATGGTACAATTTTATATAACTTGTTTGGTTGTAAACCTTAAACCCCACAATATTACTTTTTGATTGTAAACAAAATGTTAGAAATTTGTATTACCTTTTAGATTAATGTATAACATTTTAAGTTAAAAATTAACTTAAAATAACCTTAAATTAGATTGCCGCAAAAAAAGAACTACTTGTTTCTACTAGGAAGTGTGACCATTATTCTTCAATCTTGACTATTTCCTTCGCAATATCATCTATTTTTACTTTTTCGTTTATGGGGCAAAGTATAAAAATGATTTCTCGATTATAGAATATTGTTTGGTTGAATTTCCCGATTATTGAAAGTTACAAAATGGTCCCCAAATTATAAGACATTATTTTGTTAAGTCCTCTGACTATTAAAAGTTACAAAATAGTCATCTGATTATTCATATATTCTAAATTCATTATTTTCTGTTAAGAAATTGACGATCGTCTAAGCTGGATGATAACCTGCTCATTTGGATATGATACCCTATAACTGTTTGAATTGTATTTTGTCGACCAAGTCTCTGTTTATATTATGTCGTCGAGCCATTGCTTGAAACATTATGTTGTCGAATCCAGTGCTTGAAAGTAACGACGGTATCAGTAGACATCATTAAAATATGATTTTATCATATCTCAATAAGCATGTTAACGTCCAGCTCATGCAATCGTCAATTTTTTAACGAAAATGGATGAGTTTGGAACATATGAATAGTTGGGTGACAATTTTGTAACTTTTAATAGTCAGAGGACTTAACAAAGTAATGTCCTATAATCAGTGGAATATTTTATATCTTTTAATAGTCATGAGACTCAATAAACAACTCCCTGTAGTTGAGGGATCATTTGTGTACTTTAACTTTTTTTTTTACTTTTTAAGTATTTAAATTGGGTGAACTTCTAAAATGACTAATTTTGTTTATTTTTGCTTATTGATTTAAAAAAATAATATTTTTTTTATTATTTATGTTATCAATTTATAATATTTTAGTCATTGGGACGTTAAAACTATTGATTTGATGGTGTGATACGTTAATAAAAGTGGTTAATTTTTAATTTGATCCTTCAACTTTAGATACAATATTAATTTAATCTTTAAATTTAAGATAAAATATTAATTTAATTCTTAAATATCATCAAAATTCCATGTCGCTAGCTGCCCCTCATCGTTGATCGCTCACCATTGTCTTCGATCACTACCGGCTGCTATTGGTAACCAAAAGTGAACAAAAATAAATGAAAATGATCATTTTAATAGTTTACCGATTTGAATAACACATACGTGTCATTTAGTAGTCTTATTGAGGGTGTTATCAACGGACCTAATTGATATAGACGGAGAGTTTGAGTGAAATAAAATGGTGATATAATTTAAAGATATATAGTATAATTAATTCAAGCTTTAATTCAAATATTATGTAAAATATATAGGGGTGTAAATGAACAAAGCGTTTAGTGAATTATTCTTATAACGTTCATTTGTTAAGTTAAATAGAGTATGAACAAAAATATTATGTTCATTTACTAAACGAATGAACATGAATAGAAGTGTGTTCTATTCGTTTATGTTCAAGAACAAGCTCGTTTATCGACTCGTTCATTTATGTTCATGAACAAGCTCGTTTACCCGGTTCTTCTTTTCCTTTTTTTTTACATTTTAAATATTAGTGAAGGTGTGGAGTAAATTAAACACATGGTAAAAGTTAAGTTTAAAATGTAATTTTAAGAAGTTTAAACAATACTGGCGTAATTTTACCATTTTTAGCTTGCAAATGAAAGAGTAAAACTAAAAATTGAACAAATAAACAAACAATAAACGAACGAAAAACGAACATGTTCGTAAACATATAAACGAACATCTTAAAAAAATAAATAAACAAATACAAACACAATATTAAAAATTTAAACGAACATGAACATCTTAAAAAATAAACAAACAAATACGAACATAACCTTATTCGTTATTGTGCTTTATTTTGTAAGTTAAATGATACAATTGCCCTATCACGACGAATTTATCTTTTATGTAATTTATAATTTTTTTATCATATAAAAGATAAGTGTTTTATATATTAAATTTCAAAAAATTTAAAAATTGATGAACATAAATGATGAAATTTGACTAAATTCAATTATCTTTAGTATTAGAATTAATTTTAACTATTAAAAAACATAATATTGTATGATAGCTGTACATTTTCTCCTAAATTGAACCGTGGTCACCTTAGCCTCTTATGTTGCATTTACACATAGTTAATACTATATATATCAGTGCATGCATGCGTGCATGTTTCCCCCACCAAACAAACCTAAGTACCCATCATTTAATTCTCTGAACGAGGGTCTAAATTTGAAAAGGAAATGCAAGAATCACAACTTGATATCATAAAAATCAATTACTGTTGAACATATCAGCAACAGTCAACATGAAGCTTTCATATAATCATTTGGTTAAACTTAAAACCCTTTCTCAATAAAAAAAAAACATGAATATAGTCATTCGGGAACTTATGACACGTATAAGTTTGGTATGATGTACCTACCTTTTGGGGCATCTCTTTCTCAGCACCACATTTTAATAAATAGATATGTCCCATGCAATTTAGTGCATGTCTCGTGTACACTTGAAGGATCATCTTAATGTTAAATAAGGCCATGATTTAGCACAAGTAAAGAGGAAACTTTAACATCTAGAGATTGTTCACCAATCACTTAGTTCTTTAAAAAAATCCTAATAATCTTTTCTCTCTAAAACACTAATAACCTTTTAATTTTTCTTTGATCTTTGATTAATATAGACGGTGATATTTACCGTAGTGTTGATTGTCGTTATTGGTATTTCTTATTTTCCTTTATTTTTATATCATTTGTTTTTATTTTTTAATAATTCTATTTTTACGACACGTTTTTCTATATCTTTTGGTATGTTTTGGATTTTTTGACAATTTTTTTATCATTTTTATTATGATTAGATTTGACATTGTCACGACTGGTCAAGATGACACTTATTTGTTATTATGATGATTTTTCATTCTTTGGGCCCTCATATTAGATTTGGATACATGATTTGTGTTCATGGATTATTTTCTTACGTCGCTAGACTTTGATTAATGATTTATCGGTATTCTTTTAATAGTTTGATCCTCTTTTGTGGTTCGTTTATTAGTATGATTGGATATGTTTGTATCTACTTTACGTTTTAATTTATTTGATTAGATTTTTTAACCTCTGTCTTGTATGATCTTAAATAATTAGTTTCTCATATTAATGATTATAATAAAATGTCCTATTATACGTTTAGTTTACAATTATAAATGTAAACATTCATTGCAATTCTAAATATTTTATATTTTTAATAAATCTAATAGCTTCTATCTTTAAAA